CCTTATGGTACATTTCAATTCAATCTAGCCATATTTCATTTTTTCTTTTTTTAAAAAAATTTTTCTAAATATATCTTAATTGATTACAGAGAGAAAGAGATAGAAACATCAACGATGAGAGAAACCCTTGATACCCTGTCTCCTGCAAGTCCCATACTGGGGATTGAGCCCGAAACCTGGGAATGTGCCCTTGGCCAGGAATCAACCAGAGACCCTTTGGTCCCGAGGCTGATTATCTATTCACCGAGCAAACCACCAGGCTCTCTTTAGCCACGTGTGTTTGGTGGGTGTAGGACTGGACAGTGCAGTTCTATTTCTCAGCTTCCTGTTCTGTGAAATGAGGAGAAAATCGCCAAGGTCACTGGAAGGAACAGGGGAGATCTGCTCCTGGGAAATCCCTTCATCCGCCCCGCCCTTAGGGAGTGCCCAACCAATCCTCTTTCTTAAGGTCTTTTCTCTCCTGGCACCGCCCTCCTTCAAGTTTCCGCCCCTTTCCTCGCCCATTTAAGGCTCAGGACAGAAGCAGCTCTGTCACAAATGCAGTTCTCTTGGCAGCACAGCCTTTAACCTCAGTGTAGCTGGCTCCTGCATCTGGCACCCTTTACCTCATTGGCTGCGCGTCCCCGCTCAGGGCTTGGGCAGTGTGGCTGCAGCGCTGCTGAAGGGTCCATGGCTTGGTTGTGAGTGGAGGCAAGGAACCAGAGCTACCCCTGTGAGCTGCGCCTGGAAGCATGGATGTGAGCGAACTTCTCAGCGACCAGCCCAACAGGGGCACAAAACGTCCCCGGGATGATGGACAGGAAGAGCTGAGAAGGCCCAGGAAACAAGCTGGTCCTCGAGAACCTGGCCGCTTTCGGGAAGAGGAAATGGCGGTGGCAGAAGAAGCAGATGATCACCAAAAACGGTTGCTTCAGATTATGGACAGACAAGGTGAGGAGAACGGGGAAGAGGAGGCCCCACTGGATGCAAGCTCAGTGAAGAAAATGATCCTCACATTTGAAAAAAGATCCTACAAAAACCAGGAGTTGCGGATCAAGTTTCCAAACAACCCAGAGAAGTTTATGGAATACGAGCTGGACCTCAATGACATCATTCAGGAGATGCACGTGGTGGCCACCACGCCGGACCTGTACCACCTCCTCGTGGAGCTGAATGCTGTTCAGTCTCTCCTCGGGTTGCTGAGACATGATAATACAGATGTGTCCATAGCTGTGGTGGATCTGCTTCAGGAATTAACAGATGTGGACACCCTCCATGAGAGTGAAGAGGGAGCAGAGGTGCTCACCGATGCTCTGGTGGCCGGACAAGTGGTGGCACTGCTGGTGCAGAACCTGGAGCGCCTGGATGAGTCTGGGAGAGAGGAGGCGCAGGGCGTGCACAACACTCTGGCTATTGTGGAAAACATGGCTGAGTTCCGGCCCCAGCTGTGCACGGAGGCCGCCCGGCAGGGTCTTCTGCAGTGGCTGTTGAAGAGGCTGAAGGCCAAGATGCCTTTCGATGCCAACAAGCTGTACTGTAGTGAAGTGCTGGCCATATTGCTGCAGGACAGCGATGCCAACAGGGAATTGCTTGGGGAGCTGGATGGAATTGATGTGCTTCTGCAGCAGTTATCCGTGTTCAAAAGACACGATCCTCACACTGCAGAGGAGCAGGAGATGATGGAGAATCTGTTTGACACACTCTGTTCCTGCCTGATGCTCAGTTCCAATCGTGAGCGCTTCCTCGAGGGCGAGGGTCTTCAGCTGATGAATCTCATGCTCAGAGCAAAGAAGACTTCGAGGAGCAGCGCCCTGAAGGTGCTGGACCATGCCATGATTGGGCCCGAGGGCACACACTGTTGCCGTAAGTTTGTTGACATTCTTGGCTTGCGAACCATCTTTCCTCTCTTTATGAAATCTCCCAAGAAGATCAAGAAAGTGGGAACCACCGAGAAGGAACAGGAAGAGCACGTGTGTGCCATCCTGGCTTCCCTCTTGAGGAACCTGGAAGGGCAAAGGCGAACCCGGCTGCTGGATAAATTCACTGAAAATGACCTGGAGAAGGTGGACAGGCTGATGGAGCTGCATTTTAAATATCTGGATGCCATGCAGGTGGCCGACAGGAAGATTGAAGGGGAAAGGCATGACAGGGTCCGGCGTGGGGAAATCCTAGACCAGGTCTCTGAAGATGAGTTCTACCTGCAGCGCTTGGACGCAGGGCTCTTTGTCCTCCAGCACATCTGCTACATCATGGCGGAGGTCTGCAATGGCGGCATCCCCCAGATCCGGCAGAGGGTTCAGCAGATCTTAAACATGAGAGGAGGCTCCATCCAAATGGTCAGGCACATCGTCAAGGAGTACGCAGAGAACATCGGGGAGGGCCCGGGTCAGGACTTCCAGGAGAGCGAGCAGAAGCGCATCCTGGGCCTGCTGGACAACTTCTAGAGCCCGCCCTGGTGGTACCGACAAGCTCTGGGCCTTCCTCCGAGTGTCTACTGGGCTCAATGTGACTTTCCGAAAAATTGAACTAGTGTTTTTTGGTTTTTGAAATAGTACCAAAGAGTATAACACAATTTATTAGTATTGTACTGTACCTGCTTAGATGTAGATCATTAGGAAGCATTGCTATAATTAAAGGGTCTGAGCTTGGCAACACATATATTAGAAAGACCAAAGTTTTCTCTTTCAGAAAAATAATAAAAAGTTTTTTAAAAAATTAACATTGTAGTATCAGACCAATGTTCTTAGCATGAAATTCAGTTTCCCTATCATGACCCACAAGGCTCATTGAGAAAACTCCCTACTCTGTCAGGCACTGTACAAGGCTTTTTGGAGTAGGGTTGAACGGTGACCATGACATATAGAATTCCAGCTCTCAAGGACTCTGAGTCCAGTAAACGAGGCTGTCAATAAACAGATAATCAACCATTAAGTACAAATTACAACAGCACACATGTGCAGGAGAGGAGGTGCTAGGAAAGAAAATGTTGGGGAAGGGTTGCTTACTCAGACTGAAGGTGAGTGGAGCTACACTAAGAAAGTGACATTTGAGACCTGAAGAATGAGAAACAATTGGATGAGCAGTGGGGTTAGTGGCCTGATAAAAGAGAGGAATTGGCACTTTGAGGAAAAAATAATTTATTTATTTTTTTTGTAATTGGAGACGGTAAAGATGGGCTGTGGAGGATGGTTATAAGTATTGCTATGGTCTGAATATTTGTGTCCTCTCATCATTCGTAAGTTGAAGTTTTACTTTTCAAGGTGATGGTATTAGGAATCGGGGCCTTGGGAGGTGATTAGGTCATAAGGTGGAGCCCTTATGAATCAGATTACTGCTTTTATAAGAGGCAAGAGAACCCCCCCTCCCCCCTCCCCCCATCCCCATCCTCCGCCATGGATGACACAGTTCCAAGGCAAATTTAGGAAATACAAAGCATGACCTCATCCCACAACGAATCTTCTAGCGCCTTGATCTTGAATTTCCTATCCTCCAGAACTGTGACAAATAACTGTTGTTTATAAGCCATGCAGGGTATGATTCCCCGCCTCACCCCAAGAGCCTAAAAGACTAAGACAAACATAAACGCAAAGGACGGATCTCTAATGGCTAAGGGGAGTAAGGAATAGGCTTAACACACTCTGAAGACAGAGACTAATTCAAGTCACAGGAGCTCAGATGCTCTCTTTGAGTTATTCTTTCCCAATGATGGGCAACTTTCTTCCACGGAAAACCTTTTTATGTTTCTTGGGTTTAAACAAGATCATCCACTTTCCACCAGGTCTTGCATATAATCATGGTATGGCCTTGGGCAATATACTAGTACTTTCTGAGCCAGCACTATTCAGCAAAGACACAATGGGAGCAAGCCACAAAGAGAGCCACCCATGAAGTTTACATCTTCTACCAAGCACATTTAAAAAGATGAAGAAATGTGTGTGCAATTAAGTTTATAAGTTTATTTGACTGAAAATATCACTTCAATAGGTAATCCACAGAAGTCTTAAAAATCCAGTGTGCATTTTATTTACCTTATGGTACATTTCAATCTAGCCATATTTCAATTTTTCTTTTTTTAAAAAAAAATTTTCTAAATATATTTTTATTGAATACAGAGAGGAAGAGATAGAAACATCAATGATGAGAGAAAACCATTGATCTGCTGTCTCCTGCAAGTCCCATACTGAGGATATAGCCCGCCACCTGGGAATGTGCCCTTGGCCAGGAATCAAACCAGAGACCCTTTGGTCCCAAGGCTGATTATCTATTCACCGAGCAAACCACCAGGCTCTCTTTAGCCACGTGTGTTTGGTGGGTGTAGGACTGGACAGTGCAGTTCTATTTCTCAGCTTCCTGGTCTGTGAAATGAGGAGAAAATCGCCAAGGTCACTGGGAAGGAACATGGGAGATCTGCTCCTGGGAAATCCCTTCATCCGCCCCGCCCTTAGGGAGTGCCCAACCAATCCTCTTTCCTAAGGTCTTTTCTCTCCTGGCACCGCCCTCCTTCAAGTCTCCGCCCCTTTCCTCGCCCATTTAAGGCTCAGGACAGAAGCAGCTCTGTCACAAATGCAGTTCTCTTGGTGGCAGACAGCCTTTAACCTCAGTGTAGCTGGCTCCCTGCATTTTGCCCCCCTTTCCTTCATTTGCCTCTCCGCCCCCGCTCAGGGGCTTGGGCAGTGTGGCTGCCAGCGCTGCTGAAGGGTCCAGGGCTTGGTTGTGAGTGGAGGCAAGGAACCAGAGCTACCCTGTGAGCTGCGCCTGGAAGCATGGATGTGAGCGAACTTCTCAGCGACCAGCCCAACAGGGGCACAAAACGTCCCCGGGATGATGGACAGGAAGAGCTGAGAAGGCCCAAGAAACAAGCTGGTCCTCGAGAACCTGGCCGCTTTCGGGAAGAGGAAGTGGTGGTGGCAAAAGAAGCAGATGATCCCCAAAAAAGGCTGCTTCAGATGATGGACAGACAGGGTGAGCAGAACAGGGAAGAGGAGGGTTCTCTTGAGCGGCCTCCGTGGCCCCAGAGCAGCATGGCGGCCGCCTCCCTGGGCGAAAAGGAGAAGGAGCGGGTGGGCGGCGGGTCGGGGGCGGCGTGCGGCAAGAGCACGCGAGAGCGGCTGCTGTCTGTGCTGGACGACCTGGAGGTCCTGTCCAGAGAGCTCATAGAAATGCTGGCAATTTCAAGAAACCAAAAGTTGTTACAGGCTGGAGAAGAAAACCAGGTGCTGGAGTTATTGATTCACAGAGATGGGGAGTTTCAGGAACTCATGAAATTGGCACTTAATCAGGGAAAAATTCACCATGAAATGCAAGTTTTAGAACAAGAAGTTGAGAAGAGAGACAGTGATATTCGGCGGTTACAAAAACAGCTAAAGGAAGCTGAACAAATACTGGCAACAGCTGTTTACCAAGCAAAAGAAAAACTGAAATCAATAGATACGGCAAGAAAAGGTGCTATCTCCTCTGAAGAAATAATTAAGTATGCACATAGGATTAGTGCAAGTCATGCTGTGTGTGCCCCAACGACCTGGGTTCCAGGGGACCCACGGAGACCATACCCAAGGGATTTAGAGATGAGAAGTGGATTATTGGGTCAAATGAACAATCCTTCCACTAATGGTGTGAATGGCCCTTTACCTGGAGATGCACTTGCAGCAGGCAGATTGCCAGATGTCCTGGCTCCACAGTATCCCCGGCAATCAAATGACATGGCAATGAATATGTTACCACCAAATCACAGTAATGACTTTTTGTTGAAACCTCCAGGGCATAAGAAAGAAAATGAAGATGATGTAGAGTTTATGTCAACAGACTCCTCTAGCAGTAGTGACTCTGATTAAAAAAGCAGAAGCACTCCTGGGCCTGCTAGACAACTTCTAGAGTCCGCTCTGGACGGCACTGACACCCTCTCTGGGATTTCCTCCCAGTTTTTACTTGGCCTAATGTAACTTTCTGACAAATTAGACTATTGTTTACAAAAAAATAAAAAACGCTTTCTCAGTTGGAATCTTCTAAGGTTGGTGTTTTAATCCACTTACTGAGCAATCTATTCTTAGCCACTTGCTTCTGAAACAGCAGTCGCCAACCAGACTCCCTGGACCACCAGTGGTCCATGGACCACTGGTTGTCAACTGCTGCTCCAAACATTTCCTTAAGCCAGCAGTTGCCAAATTTTCAGACCTCTGGTTGGCTACTGCTATTCTAAAACATAGGCCAACTGGTTAGATTTAACAACATAAAACTCTACATCTGTGATGGCGAAACTTTTGAGCTTGGCGTGTCAGCATTTTGAAAAACCCTAACTTAACTCTGGCGTGTTAGATATAGAAATTTTTGATATTTTCAACCATAGTAAAACAAAGACTTATACTTTTGATATTTATTTTATATATTTAAATGCCATTTAACAAAGAAAAATCAACCAAAAAAATGAGTTCGGTTGTCACCTCTGACATGCGTGTCATAGGTTCGCCATCACTGCTCTACATTATAGGGGGAGTAACTCATACAAGTTAGAAATTAGCCAGTAAGATTTCTCCCCTGCAAAGTATTTTTTCCCAGCTGCCAGTCACATCTACCTGAAGTGCCCACATTCTGTAATGCATTTCTGTGGACCTTAGCATCTGCTTTCGGCTTCAGTCATTCCCAGCTATAATTCCCATGTCCTTGGGAGGAAAGATTCCTTAAAATCTTATCCTCCCAACTCAATTATACTTCTCTTATCAGTACCTCTCTTATCGTACTTAGTTTCTTCCTTGCACTATCCATACTGAAGTCTTTGTTCTTTGCCCTTTCTTCCTTGTTTCTAATCTTCTCAAGAGCAGAGATCACATCTTATTTATCTTTGGGGTCTTGGCAACTACTACTGTGCCTGGGTATAATGCAAAACAGGTATTCAATGCCAGATTTTCCACTCAAAAGCTGTGAAATTTTGTCAAAGTCATTTAGCCTCGTGAGTTTCCTTGTCTAACCTATCTGTGAAATAAAAACATACTAACCTACTTCCCAAGTTGTTAGAATACTTGGATGGCAACATACCCAGTAATCTATAAATCACTATTCTATATAATAAAAGCATAATATGCAAATCGACCGAATGGAGGAATGACTGGTAGAACAACTGGTGGAACAGCTGGTCGCTATAATGCACACCGACCACCAGGGGGCAGATGCCCAATGCAGGAGCTGTCCCCAGCCCTCAGGCCCCAGGCCAGCCAAGGCAGGTGCCAGCAGGGGCCCCCTGATTGCCCCACCAGTTGTCCTACAGATCGGCCCTGATTGCTGGCCAGGCTTAGGGACCCTACCTGTGCATGAATTTCATGCACCAGGCATCTAGTACAAAAATAAATCAATATTCACATGCCACTAGTGTAGCTCCTGGTCATTAAGTCTGTGCTGATTAAATGAGGAACAAGGGTACAACTGTTCCATAAACAAGCCATGGGGGAAAGGCATAAAGTTCAGCCAGGACCAGAGAGGAGTGCGAGCTACACTGAGAATAAAGATGTTGGCACCACAGTGTTTATTAAAATACTAGAGGCCCGGTGCACAAAAATTTGTGCACTCAGTGGGGGTCCCTCAACCTGGCCTGCGCCCATTTGCAGTCCAGGACCCCTTGGCGGATGTCCACCTGTCGACTTAGGCCCACTCCCCGGGGGATCAGGCCTAAGCTTGCAGTCAGACATCCTTCCGGCAGCCAGGGAGCCCTTGGGGGATGTGCGATTAAAGGCTTAGGCCCCCAAGGGAGCTGTGATGAGGAAGCTGGGGTGACAGAGGAGCCACGCTGTCCCGCTATGCCGCCCTGGGTCGGGTCGCACACGGGACACCTGGGCGGCGGCCGGGTGAGCCGGCGGGTCTCTGCTGCCCCGCCCTGCCACCCCAGGTCAGGTCACACACAGGATACCTGCCGCCGCCCCAGGTCACAGATAGCAGGCCCAGATGGCGGCAGGGCAGGGGGGATGGCGCTGTCCCGCCCCAGCACCCCGGGTGGCAAATAGCAGGCCCGGATGGTGGCGGGGCAGGTGGGATGGTTCTGACCCGCCCTGCCTGCAGTATGCAAATTAGCCGCCATCTTTGTTGGCGGTTAATTTGCATATCGTGCTGATTAGCCCATGGGAGGCCTAGCGAAGGTACGGTCAATTACTATGTTTGTCTATTATTACATAGGACTAGAGGCCCGGTGCACAAATATTTGTGCACTTGGGGGGGGGGGGACGGGGGGTCCCTCAGCCTGGCCTGTGCCCTCTCGCAGTCTGGGAACCCTCGGGAGATAATTACCTGCTGGCTTAGGCCTGCTCCCGGATGGCAGAGGGCAAGCCCAATCCCTAGGTGCAGCCCCTAGTCGGGCTCAGAGCAGGGCTGATTGGGGAGTTGGGGCGCCGACCCCTGTCATGCACAGAGCAGGGCGGATTGGGAGGTTGTGATGCCACCCTCAGTCATGCTCAGTGTAGGGCCAATTGGGGGGTTGGGGCACCGCCCCCTGTCACACTCAAGGCAGGGTCGAAGGGGAGGTTGCGGCTCCACCCTCTGTCACGCACAGAGCAGGGCCGATCAAGGGGTTGGGGCGCTGCCCTCTGTCACTCACAGAGCAGGGCCCATCAGGGGGGTTGGGGCTCTGTACCCTGTCACGCACAGAGCAGGGTCAATCAGGGGGTTGGAGAGCTCCCCCCTGTCACACACAGAGCAGGGCCGATCAGGGGGTTGGGATGCCGCACCCTGTCACACACAGAGCCGCAGGGCGATCAGGGAGTTTGGGCGCTGCCCCCTGTCATGCTGATCCCAGTGTCGGGAGGCATATTACCCTTTTACTATATAGGATAGAGGCCTGGTGCACAGGTGGGGCCCGGCTGGTTTGCCCTGAAGGGTGTCCTGGATCAGGGTGGGGGTCCCGCTTGGGTGCCTGGCCAGCCTGGGTGAGGGGCTGATGGCTGTTTGCAGTTGGTCACACACCCTTCAGGCTGGGGGTCCCCACTGGGGTGCCTGGCCAGTCTGGGTGAGGGGCTGAGGGCTGTTTTCACGCGCTGGTGGGTGACTGAAGCTCCCAACCGCTCCTTTTTTTC